CCTGAAGTGAAGCTAATCACAGCCTCAAATTGCCGAACGACATGCCAAAGCTCAAAACAACCGGTCGGGTCGTTACACCGGGGGCCTCAAGGGTGTTTCGGATGCCCATCGGAAGGCAATTTTGGACTTAGGCTTGGAAGATTTTCTGATGTTCTGGTGGTTTTGCACCTGTGGCGGGAATCCCGCAGGTTCGAGCCCGTAGAAGTGAGGAGGAAGTCGCAGGGGCACGCAAGCATGGGCCGGATTGGAAGCGCAGATGGGAAGGGATGAGCGCATTTGTGGCCCCGCAGGTGCGGAGGTAGAGTCGCAGATGCGGAGAAGGCCTGAGTGGGGAGGAACCGCAGAAGTGGGCATGGTCCGCATATGGTGAGGACACGTGCTACTAGGCAGGACGAACATCTACCAGTGCCACCAGTCAGGGCCGCGAGAGGCCGAGGTTGCGATAGATGTCGTGGTAGGGGCAGAGGTGTAGCCCGCACGGCAGCTAGGGTAGCACCTATAGATCCACCAGTTGCCCCGGTTCAGGATCAGGTCCTAGTTGCGGATGCACCAGCAGGACCAGCTCAGGCACCAGTTGTGCCCTTCATGATCCCAGGTCTTCAGCAAACCTTAGCTCAGATTCTGACCGTGTGCACCAGTCTTGCTCAGGCGGTCTCTGTTTCTACTGCAGCAGCCACTTTCCAGGCCAGGGGAGGTACTGAGACTTCCACCGCTCGTACACCAGAGCAGGTGGTATAGGGACTCTAGACACCCGGGGCACCACCAGCCCGGCCGGTTGCAGCTGCTCAAGATTATGTGGTTCCAGTCATTCTTGATGATGAGCCGTGCAGATTGGAGAGGTTTGGGAGGCTCCAGCCTCCGACTTTCAGCAGTTCAGAGGGCGAGGATGCCCAGGGTTTCTTGGATAAGTGTTAGAGGATTCTCCGTACAGCAGGTATTCTGGACACCAGTGGGGTCTCGTTCACTACTTTTCAGTTTATTGGAGTTGCCTTCACTTGGTGGGAGGCTTATGAGAGGCGTAGGCTAGTTGGTGCACCGCCACTTATATGGCAGCAGTTCTCCCTTCTCTTCCTAGAGAAGTATGTACCGTAGTCTCGCAAGGAGGAGTTGCGCAGGCAGTTCGAGAGGTTGCATCAGGATGACATGACTGTGCATAGTACGAGATGAGATTTTTTGAGCTAGCCCGTCATGCTATTTCGTTGGTTCCCACAGACAGGGAGAGGATCAGGAGGTTCATCAATGGCCTCACTTTTCAGTTGTAGGTGCTGATGACCAGAGAGAGGGTGTCTGGTGCTACTTTTGATGAGGTTGTTGACATTGCTCGGGAGATAGAGTCGGTCGGGCAGTCAGAAGCGGGTTGAGAGGAAGGCCAGGAGGTCTCGTGGATCAGGTAGCTTTGGTGGTGTTCCTTCTAGGGAGTCAGTTTCACCACAGCATAGGTCGTCCTTACAGGCATGCTCAGAAGGCCCGCCCAGTTCACCGTGGTGCATCATCTGGCCACGGTTCTCACAATTCTCATCAGGGCCACTCATCACTCAGTGTCCTTCCAGCCCAGAGTTCGTCCCGTGCTCCATCAGTTTAGGGCTCCTCTATACCAGGTTCTTCTACTAGTTATCCTAGTGCTCGGGGTTCCCTTTAGTCCCCGTCACCAGCACCAGGGAGTTGTTTCGAGTGTGGGGAGTTTGGGCGGTGTGGAGGCAGTGTCCTCGTCATCACGGAGGTTCAACACAGCAGAGGAGTCAGGCTTCATCTTCAGCCCAGTTACTTCACCGCCCGCCCGCCCAGCCAGCTCGGGGTAGAGCTCAGTCAGCTAGGGGTTGCCCTAGAGGGGGAGGTCGATCAGGCGGCGGTACAGCCCATTTCTATTCACTCCCTGCTATCGCGCCCCCTTTTTCCTCCGCGCAGAGAAAGTTCGGGTTTCGCATTCATGGGGGGTAATAACTCATTTCCTTTTGGGATTTGGGTATTTGAAGAGTCGCCACCTAACGGATTATGGTGCGTTTGGGCACCTAGAGCGATTAACTCTTAGACTAGTTTGCATTACTAGAGATTTAGGGTAAGGGCTCGAAATAACCTTGAGGGGAAGGTGTTAGGCACCCCTCTCGGTCCACAACGGTGGGTCCCGGCCGAACTTATACTTATGAATTAGTCCTTTAACAAATAATTGCAAATAAAGTATGTTGGACATTGTATGACTCAAATAATAAGACAAGTTGTGTACATATAAAAAAAGTAAAGTTTTAGACAAAGGGAATTTGGGAAGGAGGGGTCCTAGGTTGGTTAGCCTACAGGATCACCCCACACAATGCCCGGTAAACACTCCTCAATGAGGGGCTACACGTGATATTAACGCGTAGTCATCATATCCGTTCTACCCAAGTCCCTCCCCTTGGTCATAGCCTAAAGCGTTCTAGTAACCTTGACAATGTCCTATGCGTGCACTACCCGTCCCTTCCTCGTGGCCCTGGGGTATTTTAGGACCTCTATTCTTTGGACAGTTCTGGACTTTCCTAAGGTTTTAAAGGATAAAAATCTAGGCGACAATCAAGAACAATTAGGACTGCATTTAAAGAAACAAGTTATAGGCTCACAGTTACCTCCTTAAACATAACAAATAAGTGCACGTCTTCAAATACTTAAGAGAAAAATCCCAGAACATGATATCTAGGTAAGCAGGGGTTATATGTGAAAGATCCTATTTAACTTGCCTTCTGATTAAACCTGTTAAATCTGGACAGCTTTAAGTAGCAAAAATACAGTTTCAGAGTTGCAGAATTTAAAATCGCCCTATAGGCTTGCCTAAACGCAGAACAATGACGTCCTAAGAGCATGATAACTATGTTGATGTAGTAGAACAGTGAATAGTTTTTAAAACGAATTCTTGAGTTCCTATAGGCATGCTGTCTAGTGATAGTTACTTAAGGCAGTATTTAAAAAAAAGAAATTCATTTAAAGAAACAGACAATTGATTAGGCCAGTTTCAAGCGAACTAACATGAATTAGACCGACTTGTTTAAACTAAGTTGATTTTAAGTTCTATAAGCAGAATTTATGATTTATTTTGATTCCTATAGGCATGGTATCTAATTGTTAAGAGCTGATGTCAGTGAGATAAAGGTAAATACATGCAGTAGCAGAAGTTGAACTCAATCAGTTTACACTCCATAGGCATGGTATCTACTTATGAAGTTGATTTTAACCCTATAGACATGATTTCTAATATTGAATCCCTTTAAATCCTATAGGCATGGTTTCTATCATGGTAAAGCAAACATAACAAGTACATCAACACGATCCTAAGAGATCAGGGTTTAGACATTCCCGGGTTCCGTGGTTCTAGCACGGTCGCTCAACTGTTATATTCGGCTTAATTATCTGATTTCAAAACATTTTAAAAACCTATGTGCAATTTTAGCCTTTTAACCGCTTTCATTTAATTAATTAAAGGAAGATTGCAACGTCATTTAAAACATGTTTCGAACCACGTCACATAAATGCACCCGCAGTCCGCAACACATTTTATCTAACGTTGAGATTTGGATTTGGGTCACATAAATGCGCACCCGAGTTTAGGAAGGTAGATTATTAAAATAACGCGCCTAAAGCAACTACGCATTTTTAGCTTTGTGAGGGCCATGGAAAATTCGCTAAATGGCGCGCCTCGAGTTCTAAGAATTTTAAAAGAGATAATCAAGTGAGGGCCACGCATTTGAGATTTTATTTGGCGCTGCGCACCTCAATTCCATTTTAAAGGGTATTCAAACTAAAGTTCGGAGGGCCATAAACTATTTATGTTATTGAATATGGCTCGCCTCAATAGTTAATAGTCTAATTAATTAACACTAAATGTAATTAAAGGTTCTATTTAAACTAACTAGGATGGCTTATATGAGGAAAAACTAATTCATTACATAAAAAGGCTTGAGCTAATACAAGAAGACTGATGGTCCAACAAGAAAAGGCCTGGATCTCGTTCAAAGTAAACTTTCAGAATTGGGCCTCACAATTGGGCCCAAATTCAGAGCCCTGCAGCTGCTGAGCACAAGACTCAACCTCGAATCCCTACAATGTATGAGCAAGCTTGAAGTTGCAAATGAATTCAAAGGGCCAACAACGAGACTAATACCTATGCAAGCAAACTTTGGGAATTGTTTTTAACTTATCAATAGCCAATTAGATAACGTCCAATAATGATTTGATCTTGAAAGCAAACATAAGTTCCAATTCTAATAACTAACAATAGGCAGTGGAATTTAACAAATTCAACAACACAGCTAATCACATTACTCTTACACAGAGGTTACAATTTCTACTGATTTTTGGTCATTCAACATATAACATCACCATTAGTCTTTACCAGCAAACAAATCACTAGCCCAGATTGCCTAAAAAGAAACTTCAAACAAACAACTGAAATT